TGTGGAGTGCTATAACGACCTGTGGAGGTGTGCTTACAGGTCTCATTCATTTGTTTTTCTTTCAATCAATCAGTCTGCTGTGGTCTCTAGAATGAATGAATGAACACCTTTTGGGGGGGGGGGGGGGGGGGGGGGGGGGGGGCTCCTGTAGAAGTATTTGGTATGACCCTCCCAGGACTCGAACCCCAATCTCCCAGTCGGACACTCAACCACCAGGCTACTGGGCTGGTTTAAAGATGACAGGCAAAGGAAAATCCATTGTTCAAGTTAAAGAAAAAGAAAGATCCAAATAACCACTGGCCAGATGGTTCCATGAAGGCCAACCAATTTTTCTTTGGATATAAAAATCCCGAAACAAACAAGGGGAGAAGGCCTTATGCTGGTTTGGTGTTTTCATACACACGGATCGCTGTAGAGGTTGTTTTAGGGTGATTAAGTTGCAGCAAGTAAGTACAGCTGAAAATGTGTACTTGTTGAGTCAATTTTACAGTAAAGGAACATTTAATTATAGCACAGCTTCCACAAACACTTTCCGCCACAGTTAATGAATTCATCATGCAGCAGACCTACGACTGGATTTAATTTTGTAAGCGTGGAACTTTTATGTTGCGCAAACAGCAACGTGCTGCTACGATTAAACTTCCCCACAGACACAATTAAAGCTTGGTTTGATCCAATCTCCTTGGTATTAATACGATATTAACACCAAGAGGACTCCTAGATATTATCAGTATTTATACTTAAATCCATCTCTAATCACATCTAGTCTGAAGCAGCTGCTGTGTTTAGAGCTGACGCCTCACAAAGTTTGGTCGAAATGGCTGAACATAAACAGGAGCAAACAGAAAGTACCAACATAAATCAAGGAGACGTTGATGTGCCACACAGACGAGACAGAGAGTGCAGTAGGAGGAAACGTGGAGATGAGAAGTGTGGCAGCGTGAGTCTTGGTGACAGGCTAGGCTAGATTAGAGGAATGTTCCAGAGAAATATGCTGCCTATTCACGGAGGACAGGAAATAAAGCCTTCCCTTATTCCACTTCTCTTTTCCCTCTTCAATCCCTCCCTTTAAATGTACCCGTCTGTCTTTTCACCTATCTCCCATGCTTTCTGCCTCAATTTCACGCTTGAGAACTTTGCATGACACTGACGGCGCAGCACCGCTTTGATATCTGCAAAACGTACTCTTGTCTGAGACGTAGCTAGTTAGAGGAAAAAGGGGCACCAAGTAGTGCTAGATGCTCCTGTTAACCAGCCAATCTCACTAATGATTGGTTCCTAACAACAGCGGATGGTGGAGAGGATTACCAGCTCAAGTGGACGGTGGAGGAGATTACAATAACAGTCTCGGAGCTCAATCACACCCACATTTATCTCAGGTGAAAGGAGAGGAAAAGGGAACCAAATTATAATGTGACCTTCAGAATAATTGTTCATTTAGACATAGGGCTGTGGATATAGCAAAATAAAATTACAATCACCGCAACATCAGAGCAATAAAACCTTGTAAAGGGTCATTTAATAGGTAATAAATGGTGGGCATTTATAATTTGCATGGTTATACTACAATCAGCCAATCAGATGGACACTTGCTTTTGAATTTTAATGACAGTGATGCTAAAGAACAAGTGTTGAATGGGACAGATGAGTTTATTCCTTATTATGGTGTAACTCTACATAAGGAGCATAAATGCGTGCCAACAGGCAACATAAACACAGCTGTTCTTCTATTTTGATCCGAGTGTCTGAAGATAAAAAGGTCAGAGATTAATCCCGAGTCCAGTTCAACTTGCACAAAAAAAAGCTCGTCCATGTATCCTTGTTGGGTCATTGAACTGATTTGCCGGCATTTAACTGTATCCAATTCAAACTTATACCTGATCTAAACTTACGGACTAGCACGGCGCTGTTACTGGTCTCCTATCCAGCATGTTTCTGTGGCATTACTGGTCCTTAAGGGTCTTTATCCAGCATGTTTTAGTTTTTTCCCTGCTCCAAAACAGGAGATTCACCTGTTCAGCAGTTTGTCAAGAATTCTGCTAATCACTTTCTGATTAAAATCAGGTATGCTGGGAGCAGAGAAACAACCAAAACATGCTGGATAGAGGCCCTTAATGGTCTAAATGACCAGGGTTGGACAACGCCAGACTAGCATGATCAGAAATTACAGTTTGGATCTGTAAGACCAAAGTTGGTCCTGAAAGGTCTCACAATAAGGCCCATTTAGGAGCTCAAAATGACAAAATCCAGGAAATACACAGTCATTAATTAAGAAGGTTTTGATTCATGTTATTCATATATTATACTATAAGTGTATTAAAAAATTCTAACACAAACTCATCAGGAAAATTCCACCCAGATAAGAAAACTAACCCTCTGTCCTTCTGGACCAACCAAAGTGAGCAGTCTACTGGCAAAAACTCCTGCTAATGACAGCTATTCAACCACATATTCACATGGTCTTAGGTGAAGGGTGAGACAAAAAACGGTTCAGAGGATC